GAGGCCATTTCCTCTCGTCCTATCGCTAGTTACTTGGGAGAAGAGACCAACACCCACCTCACTACAACCTCCTTTCAGGTAGTTGTAGAGAGCGATGAGGTCTCCCCTCAGCCTCCTTTTCTCCAGGCTAAACAAATTAACTCTATCCCAGGACAGCATCCAAAGAAGGGCAATGAAGCTGGTGAAGGGTCTAGAGCACAAGACTTACAAGGAGCAGCTGAGGGAACTGGGGTTGTTTAGCCTGCAGAAAAGGAGGCTGAGGGGAGACCTCATCGCTCTCTACAACTACCTGAAAGGAGGTTGTAGCGAGGTGGGTGTCGGTCTCTTCTCCCAAGTAACTAGCGATAGGACGAGAGGAAATGGCCTCAAGTTGCGCCAGGGGAGGTTTAGATTGGATATTTGGAAAAATTTCTTCACTGAAAGGGTTGTCAAGCATTGGACCAGGCTGCCCAGGGAAGTGGTTGAGTCCCCATCCCTGGAGGTATTTAAAAGACGTGTAGACATGGTGTTTAGGGACACGGTTTAGTGGTGGACTTGGCAGTGTTAGGTTTACAGTTGGACTCGATGATCTTAAAGGGCTTTTCCAACCTAAATGATTCTATGATTCTGTGATTCTAAGTCCAAATTAGAACAGTAGCCTCCAACTCTACCAGAGCCTAGGGTAAAGCCCTTATCCTTTCCAGCTTTGCTTTTGCCACTGGAGCTGGGACACAAAAAAAAAATTCGCTGGAAAAGTTGTCAGATTTTCGTCCATGAATGTGACATTTTAGCTTTGCAGGAACTTTGCTCAGTTTCACAGCACTGCTGCGTGTTCTCATACCTTCCTGTCTCCAGGGTGCTGCTGATGCAGAAGGGGAAACCTGCTCCAGGACCACCAGTGCAACAACCACGGGGCTTGGCCAGTCTGTTTGGGCAGAAACAGGAAACTCCAAAATTGTTTAAAGCGATACTTGGAGGTAAAGGAAAAGAAGGCCTTTCTAGCCTGCTGCAGCTGAAGAAAGAACGAGACACTCAGGTAATTCTACGGAAAATAGAGTAGTTAATTTCAGGTGCTGGAGGGAAACAGTAAAGATACTGCGAGGGCCTGGGCAAACACAGTAGATGAAAATGTAGCCTTACTGCAATCAATGGCAAAACCTGCCAGTAGCTGAGATATAATCACTGTACCTAATCTCTGTAAACACTACTTCTAAAATTTGGCTCAAATCTTCCTGGACCTGGACTCTATGCAGAGCAGAGAAAACAAAAGCAAAGAAAAAGCAAGGAAAAAAGCAAGCAAACAAAAATCCTCAAAGAAAGTAAGGATAAAATAGACTTTACAAAGACCCTAAGGGCATCTGATCTTCTAATTTTATGTAAACAACAGTAAATACAGAAATATCCTAACACAGTAATCTGATCCAGTTGACTCAAGCACACAGTGAACTTTCCAATTCAAAGTCAGATCTTTGGTTGTCACAAATCCTGAGGACAAAATTTAAAGCTTAGCCCACACAGCTAAAACTAATTAAATCTCTAATATATGGCACTTATGAAAAAACTGTTATTTTAGTTGATGAAAAATAATTCCCGTATTATATTCTGTTCTGAGGAATGTTAATAAGAACCTGCTCAGTTCTACATATTTACCCAAAGGTGGCAGAATTCTGTCTTTATAGCTGAACTGGCAGTGTTTTTATTTTTTTAAGTTAAATAAAGATCTTTGCTTACACAAATGACTACAACACTATGATTGGAACAGAAACATTGCTCAATTTCATGTGTATTTGTGAACTTAATAGCAAATAGGCTTGGCCAAGGAACCGTGGCACCGGGCAATATGTCAAGATTTACATAACACTTTTTCTTTCTGTACTAGTGCAAGAACATAAAGGAAGGCAAGACCTAAGGAAGGGTTGAGTGCCCCAAACCGTGCCTGTTTCATCCTGCTGTATTAATAAGAAACAGATACTATCGCTATCTACAAGCTTTTCCTAGGTTTTATGTTGACATTCTGGTTCTGAAATCGCATTTTTCATTTAGAAACTCATTTTCAGCAGCTAAATACAAATTTCATACGTTGCATACCATTAATCACAGTATCCATGCTGTGCCTTTCCACTGCATATACAGAATAGAACGACTTCCTGAATTTCTTCTGCAGCATTGGAAAACATTTAACTTTTTGTTTCTAGGAAACTCACGCTGAAGCAGAGAATAAGCCTAAACAAGAGGAGAAGAAACCCGTGGAGCCTGCGGCCTCATCTGCACCCCCTGCACAAAAGGAAGAGCCGAATGCAGATGCTAAGCCTAAACCACCTGCAGTTTTGCACAGAGGAACCACTAACGAGTCACTGATCATTACTATGTCTCCATCCCCCAAAACAGAAGAAGGAGAGATCCTTAAAGTTGAAGTTAAAGAGAAAAAAAAATAAATAGGTGGTGCTTTGGGCTGTGGCCCCATCTATTGTCTTGCTGAATTCAAAGGGCTAGTGTGACTGCTTTTGGGTACAAAAGATTAAAAGTAGAGACTACTCAAAAGAAAAATCTACCCCAGCTCCTCCTCTTCTCTTCTTCCTCTCCTGCGACAGCTGGACAAATTATTTATATACTTACCTCGTAACCTTGAGCCTGAAGAGAGAACTTCTGGTGTAATAGGAATTAGAGCTCAGACTATTTTGGGACCACCTGTTTCTTGTTTGATCCATGCTCTCCCTTATCTCTTACTGTCTTGTTCCTGCTTCTCCTCTTCCCTCTACTGTTTATCCTCGCTTTCTTATTGCTGTTCCTGTTGCTCAGTTTGCTCTGAATTTTTGTATGCGTTCTCTTCTGTTTTCTTTTCTGGTTCCCCATAGTTATCCTTTTTCTTGTTACTGCCCTATTGTTGCTGAGGTTACTTACGTTTCTCTCAATCCTTCTCTCTCCTCCCCTTATACTTGTAATCAGTGACCTGCTTTTGCGACTAGCGTAGCTCAGTGCAGAAAGCTGTGATGCTGTGTGTTGGGACGTTTTAGCTTGGGACAGAGGGCTACAAAACAAAACCATTGTCAAAAGATAAAAATCACAAAATACACAAGGGGGAAGCAAATTGCAGAATTATTGCCAGCCTTTTGAAAGCACGAGCATCTGCTCGAGCTGTCTTTGACTCTGGTGAATAAACATGGCAGAGACTTAGATATTCCCCCACCCCACCCCAGGAGTGACCTTTAACTTTGGGCTGCCGACTTACACATTAGATCTTCTCAAGGGGTTGGGCATTAATAATGCTCTCTGAAGAGCAAGCAGTTGATACTAACTTTTTGAAGAATCTTAGTATCTAAACTAGCCACTTCAAAAATAAAGGTTATTTTACAAAAAGCAGGATTTACACTTTCTGGCTCTGTGGTGCCTAGTTTCAACCAATGCTCCAGTTGTTCACCTCCATCATAGACATCGATTGATGGTGCACAGTGAGCCCTGTGCCTTACCAGGGCTGAGCTACATCGTACCTGTGAACTAAAGTAAATCCTTTACCAGCGCCACAGCTAAGAGGGCTACAGCTGTCTAACAAGGAACTCCCGCACTGTCAACCTTCTGCATCAACTCATCACAGAAAGGGATGCAATATTAAACAAAAGGCTGAAGCTGTGTTTTAAGCTTAATTATCAATTATTTTTTTCTCTTCCACGGGTTTGCGTCTCCTCTCTCTCCCTATCCACTTTCAGTCCCCACCGGATGAACGGTTTGGGGAACTAAAACCATTATACAGAGGCCAAGCCAAGAAATGGTAAGGGCAGGCTTCACAGCTCCTCAGCTGACCAGCCAACCAAGGAAGGCACCGTGCCAAAATTAAACAATTCACTTTGCAGGCTATATGATCCCACCGGCTATGGGTCCTGTAGGCCTGCTCTGTAAAGCCTTTCCACTTCTCTAATCACAGGCAAAGCTGCAGCCCAACCAGAATCAGTGGGAGCTTTGCCCGGGTAAAAGCTAAATGATTGCATTCCGTTATGTTGTATATTCCACACATCCTCTGACATGACCAAAACCCAAATCTCTTTCAAAAAGAAAGTTCTGCCGCATTAGCAGTGAGGTCAAGGTTCAATTGCTACATGGGAAGAACCATCTTTATTTGTATGTTACTTGTTAAATTTTTATATGTAAGAAAAAAGGATGTCACAACAGAGGTAGAAAATTATAAGATGCATCATAAAGAATTATTAATCTATTGCACATCCAGGAACATCTCAATACCATCTCAAAATTAGAAATATTGCAGAACTGCTTCACAAACGAGGCCTTCTGTGAATAATAATGATCTATGAATTCATTACAATATATGGTTCTCAAATTTTTTTTTTTTTTGAGAGAGTGAGTTGTAAAAACATTATGGAAGGGGGAAAAAAACCCATAAACCCCCATATTTTAACATTTTTATATTAATGAGTAAAGCGCTCTGTCATTGCAAAAGATCCGACCCCCTTCTGCCTACACAAATGCTACCAGGTAACTTCAAACATTTTCACTGTTGGCATATTTAAGTTCATCAGTCACACGCTGACATACATTAGCAAGTAAGGGCTGAGACTGCAGCAGCAAGCACTACACTGCAGCAACAGAGCATCCCACGAGCTGCTGCTTTGCTACAGCTCAGGACTGCAGGAAAGCCTGAGAGTTCTGTCTGCAGAATTACCACGTTATGCACAGCTCTCAAGTTCCTTAGACTCAAAACGAGAAGAGGAGAACTGTCAGTCTTTGCAGAAGATCACGGCCACACAGAAGTAACATCCATCTGGTTTTCTCTGACGTCCTACTTTTCTGTTGTTGGAGCATTTTCCCCTTTCCAGAGTTCCTCCATTTTTAGCGGTGCACAGGGGCAGGAAGGGTCCAGGAATCCAAGCTGCAACTATTTATAGGGTTTTTACCAGAAGGAACAACACAAGAAAGGTCAAGATATAAGATGTATTAATCCTTTCAGGAACTAATTCTTGTGGATTCTTGACTGGTGGAGAAGTCGAGTGAAGTACTCTAGAGCACTTAGAAGATGCAACTTCCAGTATCAAAGCTCACTCAGGTTCTGTATGGCATCGCACTCCGCTGCAATGCTATGTCTCTAGCATCTCTCAGTTTCCCAATAAAGCTTCTCAGACTCGACTACACTTGAATGTAAAGAAACTGAAGGGTGGAGTAGGAGCATGTATTTGAAAATGAAAAACAACCAAATCTCTGTGCCTCTCTACTTAAAATGTAGACACTGTTCTGAAAAAAAGTTTGGGAAAACCTGATAATAATTGTATGAAATAGCATGCATGGGAGAACTCTAATGTGGCAAAGAGCATGAAACAGTCACTGCTAAAACCATCCAATTTCAGAGTATCTTCTTGCTAAAAGCCAGTATGAGATGCTTTATGAAATATACACTGCACATTCATAACCACTGAGTGAAAAGGCATTTTTCCTCTCATCTGATAATACTAGTCATAAATCTGAGCTGTTCAGCCTGTGGAATACTCATAGGAACCGCAAAAGCAGCATTTATCATTAGACAGGAAATGCTGAACACAAAAGCACAACGGAAGAATAGCATACTGAAATTACATTTTTAATGCATAGGCATTGTAAATCAGTTAACGTCATCAGAACTGAAATACATAGGAAAGTAAAAAATTCTGGTTCCAGGTTCTCTCTCTGCTGTACATATGTATATATTACGCCCATTAAATGGCAAAAAGCATCTGATTATGAAGACTGCTATACATCACTTTTATCACAAGGTGGTGCAAGTGACCTACAAGCACATTTGCTTTACAAAACTTTGACAATATTTTGCTTTGTCCCCCTCAGGCTAAGAAGGCATTTTTTACATGTAAAAATAAACAAACAAATGGCAAAACAAAACAACTCCCCCCACCCCCACCCCCCCCTTGACTCACAATCTGCTGCATTCCTTGACTCAGAATATTGCTTCAGCCTAACCTGAAAGTTTCCAAATTTTCCAACAGGCTGTTAGCTGTACACCTCCAAGAGAAGTTACACTGAGAAAATGGCTCTTGCCACTGTCAGGTCTGAAACACTTTTCTTTTACACACAATAAGGCACATTGAGAAGTAGGTGTCGTTGATACGCTATCGAATTCCCTAAGCTTGAGGAACATGGGGGCACTTTTCTAACATGAGATAAAGAATTCTCTATTGTAGATACTCCAAATTTATGTGTAGAATACAAACAAAACAAAAAGGTTTATGTATTTTATATGCAGCAGCTATTTAGTATAATAATAGCTATTAACATACTTAAATGCATTTAAATGCACTTCCACAGCAACTTAAAACAGAATTGGTAACAGCACTCAGATGCAGCATCATATTTTGGCAGAGAGCTCAGAGGAACTTCAGTAGTATCCTGTACTCCTATCAGTAGTACTCATCCACGTCAATGAATCTAGACAAAGCATTAATACTGCCTCCAGTTATCTCTGTACATGGAGCGTGTAGCTGTGAAACAGTTTACTGTTCCAAAATCATACAGTATCAATTTGCAGCAGTATGATTTAGGTTCATTATAACTACTTCCTTGATCTTAATATTTTGTGTTGCATATCTGGAATGACACTTCATTATAATTCATATATAAAGTAGTAACACATTTGCACTACTCTGATAAAAAGATGACTGTAGATTTTTATATAAACACACACATGAATTAGATTTCAAAAAAGAGCGAGCTTGGCTTAATATGAAACAAAATCTCTTCCTTAGTATTCCACTACTGAAACTATTTAGGACCCGCTTCCACCAAGGAAAATGGAGTGGAGAATAACATATCCATCCATGATTGATAACTAGTCAACTGTCTACAAAACATTTGGTATGTTTTACAGGATGTGTAAGACAATCTCAACACATATATCTTTCATCCATCAACGTTAATGTGAATTCAGATTTTTGACAGGATTATACATGTATGGAAAAAAAATTAAAAACCACACAGAGCAGCTCCAGCAACTAAAAAAAAAGTCAAATACAAAGTCACATGCACTATGATCTGGTGCAATCTTGAGTGCCCAAGTATGCTAAACCTCGTGTCAGTCCATTCTGTTCTTACATGTTACAGCTGGACCATCCAGAATCAGATCAGTTGGATGTCTAACTCCAAACCACTTCAAATGTGAAACTGCAAAAATTAATGTTCAAGGTGGGCATTTTGGAAGTGATAAAGGAGACCTTTACATCCACTTACGTTACATGCGCTGACAGGATCAGAAGAGATCCTCAGCAAGCAGTATGCAACTGGGAGACAAGAAAGCTTCGTCTGTCCACTAAGCAAACACAACACGATTTACACGGGGTGTAAATGGTGAAGAGAAAACTCAAGCCAAGAAAATAAACCAGAAATTGTTTGCCCTAGAGAAATGCAGTATGATTATAGGATTAGAGCTTACAGACTTTCTTACGTC